TTGAAGTGGGTGGTAACAAATGTTTTTTCTTTTCAGTCAGTTCACATTTTTCAGCAGGCTTTTGTTCATAAAAATCAAACAAGGAACTTCTCTATCCATCATCCATCAGAAGTACAAAAATAGTTTTGATTTATTATTATGCTGAAAACTAAATATTTTGAAAGCATTGAATATTTGTATTTTTATATAAACACTGCAAAGAAGAAAGTGTAACATTTTTTTTTATATAGAAAACATTGACCAGTGTATATTTTGAAGATTTTTTTTTTTTTTTGTGGCTACTTAGAAATGTTGTACTAATGGCTTATGATGTTTTTAATAATTTATTTTTCATGTTTGGTATGTAAAGGCTGAGCATTTTGACAAACCATATGGACTTAATGAACTAAAATAAAGCTCATTTCTTGTGTGTACTGTGTGAAAACTTTACCCATGCTTAAGCTACTTCATATTTTGAAACATTTGCTGGCGTGTATGATTGTCATACCACATATTACTGCATACTTGATGATGGAGTGGCTTTATGACTATCATGACAAACATTATTTCATGCTTACTGCTGGAGTGGCTTTACAGCTATCGTAACACTTATTACTTCATGCTTACTGCTGGAGTGGATTTATAACTATCATACCACTCATTTCTTCATTCTTGCTGAATGCAAACAGGGTTTTGATGTTTTAAATATTCCTCTTGTTGTTTTAGGTTTATTAAAAAAAATTATATATTTTTTGTGGAATTTCTGTAACACTGCAACTGTATAAACATGATATTTTGAACTCACTTTTATTAATAACACCAAGATGCTACCATTGGACATTAACATCTGAAGTATGCTAAAAAAAAATCTTGGATCTTGTCACCGACTTGTAATGGTCCTTTTATTAAATACAAAAGACCATTGCTTGTGATAGCTATAGCTGGTCGATTAGTGGAATTTGGTAATTCATAAATTTTTTGGTTCGTTAATCGATTATTCTCACTTAGATAGTTGGAATAATCGAATAATAGTTATAAATGCTCATTTCAATTAATTGATTATTTTCATGAATCATAACACAAACTGATTAAACTGAACAACCTTGAATATATAATTATTCAAAATAAACGTGATCAGCTAGAAGGTGAGTTTGCATTCTAATGTAACTAAAATTTTATATGTAAAATAAACGATAGAAGGAATAATGAATGAACGTTAAACAAAACCAAAAACAAGAAAAAAGAAGTTGCTATTCTTCACATTCTTCCTTAAATCAGGTCAACATAACATAAACTTTTTCATAGCTTTTCTGACCATTCTCAAGAAGGGAATCACACTGTTGCTTGAACATTTCTGTTCTCTTAACAAGCTGAACATGGTTACACTTTATTTTGAATGTACTTATCCATTTTTAGGCCACCAAATGTAACTTTCAGCAAGCCATTTCATTTCAGTCATTTCTGTGTGTTTGATGTAGTTAATTAATTACTAGGTCACACACCCTTACTGAGGGATAATAATTCATGCTCCCCATAATGAACAATCATCTTCCACACTGAGCTCAGATTTCTTTTTTATGTAATAACTTCTACCAGAAGAGCTGCTTAAATTCTACACTTAATAATAAGTAGTCATAATTATGAGTAACAGGCAAACTACAAAGAGCTTCTACAACCACTCAGCCATCCCTTTGGTAAATATTTTTTAACCTTGGCCAACACTGAATCTCTTCTAGCCCACATTAAGATGTAAGGCTCTTATTTGTGTCATATCCAAGTTACTCAACAATAACACTTGTTTCTCATATTTTTTCTGAAGTGATCATTTGGTGAAGAGTAGACAGCTGAAATCATTCATGTTTCCTGGGCCTTTAGCAACTATATATATATATATATATATATATATATATATATATATATATATATATATATA